TTTTCTTCGTTAACTGAAGGTGGAATTTCTGTAAAAGCGATCCGGCAAGTAGCAATAGAAGAACCAAACAAAGGTAAAACGAAGCCAAGCGCCGTAAGGTACACTATCATAGTGTGAGCAGAGACGAAAATCCTCAAAGAGAAAAGAAAACGAACAGCCCGAGTTTTAGAGGTTTTCACGCTCGGTTAGATTGTAAGCTTACGTGCGATGATAAAATTACACCAGTATTGTATATATAGTTTCGTGTTAAAAAAAAAGAAGGAACAAAACAGAAATGATGAAAAATATAACGAAACTATCATAACTGTTCAAACTCAAATAAATCATGAAGGTGTCAGAGCAACTGCGATCATGCTGAGGTCCATTGCGGAAAACTCATCATGGCGATCTCCAGACATTGCAATGAAGCAAGCCTCAGAAATTACATCGTTCGTCTTTCGAGTGAACTGAACTAAGAACTTGCTCGGAAATCCTTTCCGACGCGTTGAGGGAAAGGCCAGATCAGTCACAGCAGCCGAGTTTTACGGCACTGTCATCTTGAGCAATCTTTGTGAATTCGGCTGTCGTTCATTCTTAAAACACACGCCTGGGGCAGTTTGTTTTCTGATTTTCATGTGAAAAAACTTAAATGTTTTTTGGAGCCACAATTCGACCGCATTTCACTTTCAGATTCCGTATTAAGACTAAAATACTTCACCCAACAGTGTTTAATTCGACCCTCCGAACTGTTTCAGTCTGTGAACTATGGCAAAGTGTGAGCTTTGATGGTTTGACATTTTTGACAGATTAAGTCCTTTTCAACCAATCAGATTACTCATTCTAACAGGGATTCTGATTGGCTCATTGTAGCCTGCTTTATGAGATTATAGAGCATGCTGACGACACTGTTGTTCGCTCTGGAAATAAATTGTTTTGAATATTGAAAGTTATGCGTGGGAAATTAACGGATTTTTTATTATAAAAAAAATAGAGAAGCCTTGACTGTGCTCTGTTCTGTTGTAAAGCACCCACGAAAGGGCTAGAACACAAAAGAAGTGTAGGAGAAACAAGAGATGTAATCGAGTGTTTAGGTCGAGTTTGTTCCATAGAGGAGTTTTGAACGATGTGTATTGAATTGTCAAGTTGTCTGACGCCTCCGGCCACACCGACTAAATTATTTTTATGGTGTTTGTTTCGAGAGACTACAGCTAATTTGCATAGTCAGTATGGACAAAAGAGAAATTCACAATTGTACTTCCTATAATGTGTAAAATTACTTAACAAATATCTAAAAGAAAAAGTTTACTTTACATGTACTTTGATACGGTCTCTTTAGAACATCATGAACTCTAATGAAACAACGACTGTGAGACAAGGATCCAATAATCAGCCTTACATCTTCCTGTGTAACAAAAATTTGCACGTTTTAGCGGGAAATTTAAGGCGGAATTCCCTCGTCAGTTAATAAACTTTCCTGTAGAATACTAACAAACAGATGTTAACAAAGTAAAAATTCCTGGTTACACATTTGTTCCTTCTTTCCCTATATAAGGCAAATAATTCGTTTTAAGAACTAAAAAGACAGAAATAAGATTTTTCTTAAGGTGAAGGCAGTTCTCACTGGCTGTGATATTTATACGTTAGAATCAGCTATATGAGTTCAATTATATTTACATATTCATTACATAGATGGCATCATAATTTCACGATTCAGATCACAAGGAACATCTGAATCTGAGACTGGAAAACGAGTTTCAAGAGAAACTTTAACATTAACCATTTGTACCTTGCTGTTTATTGATAAAATAAACTAACCATCCTTTTGAACGAGAGTGTCAGCAGATTGAAGCACGCCGAAATAAAAAGCCTGAATATCCATTATCTCATTTTAACGGAGGAAAAAATGGTGACAACAAATACGAGTCATAATCGGCATCAAATTTATTTGCAAAAAGGCATAAACTTGATGAACTAGTTTCTTTAAACCCAAAAAAGATTTTCATTTCTAAAACACTTTGGATTTCCTCAAGATCATTAAGTTTTATATCGCAAAATATTAAAAAAAAATTAAACACTCCTTCCTATAAATATTGAGAGATCATTTGTATCTCTAGGATACAAATGATCATTTACAAATGATCATCTAGGATACAAATGATCATGAAATTTACACGTTTAATTTCCTTTATAGCAAGAATACTGTTTGCGAAGTCATGTTCTCTGATGGAAAAATCAATTCGAAGGATTTGAACAATGAATTCATCCTTAACTCGACTGAGCCAATCAGTGTTTAGAAGCTAAGTAGCAGACTGAGATGACTCAGAAGCAATTCGAAAGCGCCTGAGCAATTACGTTAAGACAACTATTCGCCTCAACTGAGCATAACAACTTTGAAATACGTTTCACTGAATTAGACAAAATAATACATCTATTACATCTATTACATCTATTACATCTATACTGACCGCAAGCTTTAGAGAACAAAGGCTTCCCGCCTCTTAGAAGCTTGCGGACGTGGTGCCTCTCCCTAAGCAAAAACCCGTGGTAGATGCTACTAAGCACCTGTGTCCTATCTCCTTGACGCCCACTATCTCTAAGGTTGCGGAAGATATTGTGGTACTCAGATACGTCAGTCCAGCGGTGTTGCAGATCATAGACCCGAACCAATATGGCGGTATTCCAAGATCCTCCACCTTGTACGCTTTGATTTCCATGGTACATAACTGGTCACAAGCCACTGATGCCACAGGCGCAGCTGTTAGAGTGGTATTTTTCGACTATCGTAAGGCTTTTGATCTTATTGATCACAATTTGCTGGCCAGAAAGATCAAAGCCTTGGACATGCCACGGTGGGTTCGCGTCTGGGTGCTGGATTTTCTGTCAGACAGGAAACAACGTGTCAGGTTGTCATCAGACTGCAGGTCAGAGTGGGGCTCAGTCCCCGCCGGGGTACCACAGGGGACCAAGCTTGGTCCCTGGTTGTTCTTATTAATGATCAACGATCTTGAGGTCGACGCGCTCACTTGGAAGTATGTAGACGACACAACTATCGCCCAAACGATACCGCGAGGTTTGACCAGTGATGTACAAAGCGCAGTTTCCGCTGTTGAGGCGTGGTCGATCGAAAATAGGATGGAACTGAACGCGGATAAATGCAAGGAGATGCGCATTGACTTTAAAAGGAACACTCACAATTTTCCACCAATTGTGATTAATGGCAAGGAACTATCAGTATCAAACAGTGTAAAAATCCTAGGAGTCACTATTAGCTCAGATTTAAAATGGAACGAACATATCTCAGAGTGCATTAAGAAAGCGAACAAGCGCCTTTATTTTATTGTTCTTCTAAAGCGCGCCAACGTTCCACTGAGCGACATTATAAATTTTTATTGCACCGTGATAAGATCTGTTTTAGAGTACTGTGCGCCAGTTTTCCATCACGCGCTCCCACAGTATCTTAGTGACGACATTGAACGAGTGCAAAAGAGAGCGCTCTCCATCATTTGTCCTTATGCGTCATATTTCGAATGTTTGGCCAGGTTCGACTTAGTAACCTTGCACGCGAGACGCGTGGCTCTGTGTAGCAAGCTTTTCGAGTCTATCACGTCATGCCCGGATCACAAACTCGTGCCTGTCTTACCTCCTAAGAGAGAACACAGATATAATCTAAGACAGTCCAGGGCTTATGCCATGCCCCGTACACATACAAATCGTTTTAAGAACACTTTTATTCCAAGTATNCTAGTTTGTACATATTCATATATAGAGAGTTTTTCGCATTTGTGGTTTTATTATAATTTCAATTGTATTTATTCCTTGTTCTGAGTAATTGTAACGCAATTCAGTCTACGGACTGCCATGTTCGATATTCTAATAAACTATCCATCTATCTATCTATCTATCTATCTAAAATAATAATAATAATAATGACAAGGCGTTAAAACGAGAAGGATTAAAAAAAGCACGACCTAATTTAAAAATTAGAAACTTTCTACCGCAGAACTAGCCCCTCGGTATCAGTCGTTGCCAGACAACGATACAAAAAAATTGGATGGTGGATAAATGGGAGAATTGCCTGTGATCAGGGTATTGCCAAGAAATGCAGGAATGGTCATAAAAAAGGTTGTTTCGATGAACGTCATTGGTATGGGTATTTCACCTACCCATCCTATTTAGGAAAGCTTGCTCATCCTAGGATTGCTTCCAGTTCAAGTTGTAATTTTGCATGTCGAGGCTTTTTTGATATAATAGCTTAAAAATGAGTATGGCAACTCTGACAAAAAATTGTATAAATTATGGTCTGTTCACAAAATAAATAGATGCTTTGAGTTTTACCCAGCATAGAGGTTTACAGATTGGTTATTCCTGAGGAGTACAATTAACTCTCGGAAGAGGACCTCCTTTCAAATGAACACCCCACCAAAATGACAATCAGGGCCAGTCATTACTTAGCCCCGGTGGGAGGGGGAGGGGAGGTTGGAGTATTTTGTGCGGATCACATGGAATTCAAGGGGAACAGAGGGAGCAACAGAGTATAAAAGGGGGAAAAATAAAAATTTGACAGCCAATTAACTGCCAGTGTGGGGGAATCATAAGAAAACTATAAAGCCTTAGAGGGAGATCAATTTAACTCTATCATGTCACGACCAAAATCCTCCGACCCCTCTCCCCCGACTCCCTCCCCAAGCGATAAATAAGACCGGTCCCTTAGCGTGCATCCCCAATCTCGTGAGCAACCGTGCCCACACATCCTCCGATTTTCTTCAACCGTTATTAAAATTTATCCCAAATGAATTAACATTCAATAAAACGGCGGTGTTTTACGGCAGATGTAAATGGAATTACAAATCACATGAGCACACAACACATAGGTCTGTTGCACAGCTGGGATTTATCAGAGTGCGGTTCTAGCTAATCACAATTTTTTTTGTCGATGGGGGAGGAGGGTTGTAATCCTCTAACAGTCCATCAGTTTAAATTTAATCAGCTTATAAAAAAAGTTAGTCTGCTAAGAGAGCAAATGCAAAATGGTTAAACATTTCCAGCGCACAATTTAATCAAAGGTTTTTTTTTCTAAAATTTAGATTTATCCAGATGTTTGTGTGCAGAAAAGTAGAATTGATCGAGATCCGGATAGAGCTAGGCAAATCGTGTCACAAATCGTGTCGCAAATCATGTATAGACTAACTCCATGGACAGCAAAGTGCCCGTCTGATTGTCTCTTTTACTCCTTGTCTTATTTCATTAATTTTCCAGCAGTAAAGAAACGGATTGAGCGATGAGTTTGCGTAAACTAAAGTCGCGGTATATCCCCAGACTAAGAACTGAGATGGAGACAGTCCAGCCTTAGGAAGAACCGATCTCGCAATGGTGTATGGAAGATAGCAAACGACTAATGCCAGCTGCACCCACAGTGCACTGTACACTGCCTTTCTGTACCGTATCATGTTCAGTGGTTGGCTATGTTGTTGAAGAATGTGAATTTGTACTTGATAATGGCTCTGATGTAGAGTATGGAAAATTTTTGTGTACGAGATCACTGCTATCGCAAGACTCAGTGGTATAACAATATAACTATACCAGATGGCTATACGGTGATTCATAAAGTACGATGCCCCAGCGACTATTGATACAACCCACAAGATGATTACAATCGCACATGTTCGCTTCACAGTTACAACTTGTCTGTATCTCAGCTCCAGTAACAGGGCGAGAAGTCTGTCCACACTTATAGCGGTCATTGTTAATAGAGAGACTGAAGACAGAGAGTGGCCTGCTATGAAACTCACGCTCAGCGCATAGCGGCAAAAACGCCAGTTCTGGTCAACCAGTGACAGTAAATATGCAATGTGATTAGGTCCGGTAATAAGGCCCACACAAAGATCAGTTGTTGCCAAAGAACGATACAAGAGTTTAGACGGTGGATGAAGGGAAGATTCCTTGTGAAGGGCGACTAGGATTAGAGTGTTACCAAGAAATGCAGTAAGGGATACAAAAATGTTGAATGCAGAGATAAATATCAAGTGTTTGTGTATCTCATCTGTCCAACCTGCCACGCATCGTAATTGTGTAAGGGTCTCAGTTTGTTTCCCTGTAACTCCTGATAGTTTTGCTCTTGTCATGATCCCCACAAACTTGAGTGTACTTGCCGATTATCTACCCAAAGAAGCTTTTGTATAGGTTGCTGCAAATGTGACTTCGGGTTTGTGATCTCACTTCACAGTGTTAGAACTTCTATTGACATAAGATCAGCAGGTGCCTATGATATGAATAAACATGTCAAATGTGACGGTAAATTATTCAACAAACATTCATCAAAGCAAACTCAATGGACTTTTCTTTGCTCAATACTTTGCGATATTTCATGGGGTTCTGAATTTTTACTTTCCTTTACGGCGTCTCCTTTAATCAATCTGGGCAGTTTCCTAATGAATATTTACCACCAAGTTGAAATTAAAATTGTGCTGACAGGGGGTGAATCGTTTCTACAATTTTATGAAAAAGTGTTACATTTCTAAGAACTCCGTTCTATAAAATGTTCCTAGTAATAAAACTAACCTTAAGTTTTCTTATAGTTCTATGTCCGAACAGCGTAAATATTCGGGTATGTTGTTTACTCATAATAGTACCAATCAAGCAGAAACTGTTTCTATCCTATCTAAAACGGTTTTTTTTTTGTTAACTTGCAAAAGGAAATTACCTGCATTTGTTCGCAGAATGAAATGGCATGAGTCAGAGGGGTTCAGTCTTAAATGGAGGCGATATTTGTAGCGATCGGTCATTTCATGGTTCAGGAGCAGATTTTTCTGAAACAGACGGAGGGTAGACTTGTAAAGAAACTCTACTGAAGGCCTCTCTGCTTTTTCTTAAGTGTTGTGCAAAAGTATTGCATACGATAATCGTCCAGTGTCAAGCCTTGTCTTATCCCCAGGCTATAAATCGCACATTTTAGCGACACTTTAGAACGATAATTTGATGAAATATCTCAGTTATAGCGAAATATTTGGAACAGTCAGGACGGAAACGCCAAGGAAAACGTCGATTAAAAAATGAATTTCTTATTTTAATTAGAATTTCGAAAATGGCTGCATGTGTTTACCGTCTCCTACGGCGCCACAACCCAACCTCAACATAACGTATAAAAGTAGCGTTGAGTTCCAAGTGGAAATTAAAATAATTCGCCGTCGCGGTTTCGGTTCGCAGAAATTTTGGTAAATTCACGTTGTCGTTTTGTAAAGGACGGCAGAGAAATGTACTAAGTTTTAAAATGCACGTGCTGAGCTATTGTTCTGCCAATTTGATCTTTTGTTTTTCCACGTCCTCGTTGCCGTCGCCGTCGTGGTTTGCTCAAGGTCCCTATCATCTCTCTTAAAGCGCCGAACAAATCATCACGGCAGATCATTCTAGCAGGGTTCTCTCATCATTCTTTATCAACTTACACATCTTGATATCTTTTTTAACCAAAATGACAATAAGATACTCACCTAACTCCCTTGCGTTATCGGCCACGCACTTATTGCTGTTGCGGTCTCTATGCCTTGGCAATTCCAGCCTTATGTAGCAGAAAACTTTAGTGTCTTCACTAAGACACCGTGCGGTTCAATGATAACAAGAAGAGTTTCCCACACACATTGGCCAATTATTAATAGCAGATGCAGCACTGTTCATCCAGCCAACAAAAGCGGTCTTAATACAAATATGTAAAGAAAAGAGACTCACAAGTATCAACCACGACTCACAGTGATAGATGAGTGCTGTCTGTTGTGCCACAAATAGGGACCTTAAGAAACCACGACGGCGACGGCAACGAGGACGTGGAAAAACAAGAGATCTAATTGGCAGAACAATAGCTCAGCACGTGCATTTTGAAACTTTGTACATTTCTTAGCCGTCCTATGCAAAACAACAAGGTGAAATCGCCAAAATTTGCGTCGTCTGCGAACCGAAACCGCGACGGCAAATTATTTTAATTTCCATTTGGAACTCAACGGCTACTTTATACGTCATGCTGAAGTTGAGCTGTGGCGCTGTATGAGACAGTAAGCTCCTGCAGCCATTTTTGAAATTCTAACTAAGAGTAGAAATTCATTTTTTAATCGAAGTCTTCCTTGGCGTCGCCGTCGTGGTTTCTTAAAGTCCCTAATATCAGCATGAGGCGGGACCATTTCAACATAGAAGAGATCAATTGACACCAGCACAACAAAAGAGACTAGTTAAATCGAAAATATCTTTGTCGCAGAATGAAAAGAATTATGCGAGATGCGAATCGGGACTTTACTCCTAAAGTCGAAGTGTACAGACATTCTTAAGTGTTTCAGACCTGTATCAGTCGATATCGTCGTGTATAGTGGAATGATCCTCACTCTAAGAGCGCTTTTCAACCGAGTGTCGGATAACCAAAACCAAAACAATACCAATAGCCAATCACAGCAAAAAGATATCATGAGGAGCCACTAAGAAACCGAAGCAAGAACAATCAAACTCTCCGAGGCGCGGGAAAGCAGGTGCAACCAAATCGCGATTGGTTTAACCTTGAGAAAGGGGTGCGCGTTTTCTGGACCAATCACAGAGCGAAGTAAAGTGAAACCAATAGTTAATGTGGTGTACCAACCTTCCTTAACATGAATACCGTAGGCCTTGCATGCAAAACGTACCCCAACTGAATGTAAACAAACAAAAACACCCTGCAACACGTTGGAAACTGTGGAATTTATTCTTTCCAAATAATTCTCTTGCAATGAAACCCTTCCCTACTGGGGAAAATTCTATTCTGTTCACTTTCTAAGAAATATTCTTACTACCCATTTTATTTTTACAACTCGTTATAAACTCAATCATATATCAAAATAAGTTGAAACATTTGTTTCGCTACAATTGTATAAATTATTTTCAATTTAATATAATTTTGGTCACAAATTGCCAGCCACTCAAAATATTCTCATTAATGGAAAATATTTACAAGTACAAATACCATTTCAGTTAGCGGAAAATATTAGATTTATAGAAGCATTAAAATTATGATCACTGTTCTCCATGCGCACTTTAAAAAAAGAAGTCTCTCAAAAATTCTTTGAAATCAATGACCTTCACTTGTAATTCTTTGATCAAAATAACAACAGAGCAATCCCTAAGGAAAAAAAAAAAAAAAAAAGAGCACCTAATTCAGAATTAGCTACTTTCAAAAATTGAAACCGAAGATGGGCATAATTGAGATTTGATGCGACTGACGTGATTTTACTTTTCAAAAATTTCACACTTTTAGATGATAGATATCACCAGAAAATAATGCTTATAGAGAGCTGAAAATTAACTTCAAAAAAATTATATAGAATTCAAGTTTAATTCGTGTCTATCTGAGCCCCCTGGGGAGGGGGAGGGGGTAAACGAGAATGATGATGATCCAAAATGTGAACCATGAATAAAATATATCGTTACCTCGACAGTAATTATGGAAATGAAATCACATTATCGAGTATTGTGACATATCTGTCAATATTAAATATGCCTTCAACTGCAAACAAATTGTTTTACAGCCATACCCCAATTTCATATTTGATTATACAATTAAAAGAGTTCCTAAGATCCTTATCCCCGCTAAACCCGATTGACATGTAACTCAGTATGAGCTGATATAAAGTAATTTTGTCATTCAAAACCTACCTAAACAACTCTTACACGTGCCAAACTCCACAATAAATCGGTCACGACAAGAGTGACACTAAACAACAAACACAGAAAAAGAGAAAATACCCAGTTGTGTTATCACTACAAGACCAGTGCCCTTAATAATCACATCAAATTGGTTCATAGGAGACAACTATATCCAATGAAAAATTTGCGTCTCGCAGAATTTGGCGCCAAAAATAAGCGGCTGCAGAATAGTCCATTTTACAGTTTTGGGCTTGGTTGCCAAGCCTTTGAACGGGAGTGAGGCTAGGGGTGACCTTGTTACGATACAAACCTTGCTGCCTTTCAAATGTAAATCACTTTGTTACCATGCTAACTAGATACAGGTCTCTATCACAACAAGGTCACCTATAGCCTCACTCTGAATCAAAGGCTTGGCAACAAGTACACAACTGTAAAATGGCCTATTTCCCAACTATGTACCATTACGTAATTAATGTTTCAACCAGGAAGCCACTGTTAATACTCAGCCCTGTATGCGTGGTGGCATTCAACCAATTTTAATTGAAAATAAATAAACAATGCCACACAACAACACAATGGCTCCGACCAACAATGGTTCCTTGAAAAACAATGTCTTTTAACTGAATATGGTTCCCTGAAAAGACTAACATCTAACGTGCGATTTGACATTCACATTCAAAATTTTGCTGAATTTCCCTCAGTAACTCAATAATGCCTCTTGTGCATCTACTGCCTGCAGCCAAGTAAGGGCGGCATCTCGAGAAGAGCTATTTGACGAGCTTCTGAAAGATTCCATCTCACAGACACACTCGCTTCAATGCCAATTCTCAGCCATTATGAGAAGGTTTGCAACGGCACTCCAAGTTTGATACGTTTCATCTCTCTGAAGTTCAACGGCACTCCAAGTTTGTTACGTTTCATCTCTCTGAAGTTCAACGGCACTCCAAGTTCGTTACGTTTCATCTCTCTGAAGTTCAACGGCACTCCAAGTTCGTTACGTTTCATCTCTCTGAAGTTCAACGGCACTCCAAGTTCGTTACGTTTCATCTCTCTGAAGTTCGATAGCAGCCGGTGATATCGTGAGGCATGTCATCCAAATTTTCATACTTTGCTCACTCGGTGTATACATGGTGTATGTACGACCTGGAGTGTCCACACAAAACAGGAACTGATGTTTGCTCTTTCCACATTTCTTGTGTTCATACACACGGGTAATGGTCTTACAGCTGATGGCTCCCTTGGGACTATCCGCCTAGTAAGAAAACGACGAAATTTCTGTACAAGCACAACTAATCGGGTTTTTAAGCTTTCCCATGTTTAAAGTGCTGAAATTATCTTATATTAGGTCACCTACGACTGTACAACCTTGATCACAAGAGTTGGAAAATTTAGCCATGTGTGATTAACAAGAACAAGACTACATCATTCAAATCCAGTTTTTTCGTGCACACCACAAAACATCGCCCCCGTATTTTAAGTTCTTCTTTCGCTTCATTTAACTAACCTTTTCCGTTTCAAAGTAAGCCAAGTACTTTTTAGTGAGGTCGAGTACAAACCACCGTGTCTTCCAATTTCTTCGAACCTCTGAAAAAGAAGAGCAAAACATAGCAGTCGCTTTTAGCTTATCTTAGCAACTGGTCCTTCACAGTAGAACTCGTTGGTTAAAAAAGAGAAAGATTTCGAAACGATAAGATTTTCCGCGACAAAGGGAAAAACTTGACTTCAGCTCAGATAACGCCATAACACGTGATGCACCAACGAGGAAAAACTTTTAACATCAAACAGTTTAAATTGGTTAAAAGTATTGCTTGAGACAGAATTAAACCGATAAGCAGCGCAATGGGAAACAAAAGGGACGCAATAGACACAAGTGTGGGTGAAAGGAAGCGAAATGGGAAGCTGTCAGCAATGACCAGTTGAGTTAACGCTCGGCTACTGTTTATGAGGTGTGGGTTCGATTCCTGCCCTTCCCTGGGCAATGATAAAAATGATGGTAACTCGCAAAAAATTTTTGACTTAATGTCTTTTGAAGGCCAATATTTTTTAATCGCTCACTAATTTTATCTAAAATATCGTCACCTGAACCCTAGACCGATGTTTCCTGTGGTAGCCCTTTACTTTATGGAAAAATCATCGGCGAGGTGCGTGTCGAGTTAAGGATTTTTTGACACATGTCGATTTTGAAAAGTACCCACATGAACATGACGGGTCCACAGATTTTGTCGCCCATTGAATATTACTCGACTAGCAAGTATTTTTTTCGTTTCATTTTTTGTTTCTCTTCTCAAACTAAAGGGTGTATTCCTTTTTAAAACAAGGCCTGGCATCCAAACACTACTGATTTGGCTCAAATTTGACTATCACATGCTGGCATAGCACTTGCTAGGCCACTTTGAATATCAGTAACATAACAATTCCCTGACCGCGGGATTTTTCAAGACTTACGCCCTTGTTTGACCATATAGCCACAGCATTGTGATTCAGTCACTTGAACATCCTTCTCTGAGCGAAAATCAATACCTAGACAACGATAAAGCGAAGTTATACACAGCTAAATACTTTGCATGCAATCAAGGACAAATCTGGATGTAAGGGATGAGAGCCACTTTAATTGTTTGATGATTTGGGGTGGCGCCAACTCGTAAGTACAGACTTATTTCGAATGTTGCAGTTGCAGATAGGTATGTCTTGATGTTCTGATGGCAAACAAGTAATAAATAAACGTCAATGAACTATTCTTTTAAGTTACAAGCACTGAGATTGGAGGCTGTTTTTTTAGAGGCAGTAATGTTTTTATGGTTGCTTCATGTGCCAGAAAAATAAGTCTCTTTAAGGATGACGTCTTGTCTTGTTAAAAGAGGAATGTGAGAAAGTCCTCCAGAGTGGACGGTGTAAAACGAACGATCGATCTTCAAGTAAGAGCTTTTCTCATTAGCTAAAGATTCACTACTTTAAAGCTGACAGATAGTCCTGACAGTAGATTTTCTTACCTTCGCTGTGGAGATACTCTTTAATGCTGTTGTATTTCTCGGAGATCGGACGATTTCTCACATCAGTGGTAGGCTCTGTCATAAAGACACATACACAAACAAAAAAAGATTTAACGTAACGAATGGTGTTACAAAAGATGTAACTAAGAGGTAATTAATCGCAAGTAGTAGTTTTCCGTCTCCTCTCGTTCCCTCTTGAACGATGAATGATCTTCTTTCGTGATTATAACATTACCATGCCTCTCGTTATTATTACCATTATTATCAAGTATTAGTATAAACCACACAGGTGAACACAGCTTTTTGCACTCGCTGATTGACTAGTTCGGAAGTCATTAGGAAGTATTATTAACCTCCGAGCTGCCGAAGAGACAAAGTCGTGCGTCAGTGATTTAATTTCCGACCATTTTTTTCATATATTGACAGAAATAAACTCAATTTTGTTTGGTTTCTGTGGGGTAGATACTAAAACAATTCTTCATATTCACGGCTTAATAATATTCCCCACCATTCACCTCCACTTCGGTGAACAATTTTTAGATAGCATCGTAATTACCATCATTGTTGTTATTATCATTAT